GCTAATCAAGTTAAGGAATTGAAATTCTAAATATGTATGGATTAATACTTAATAATAAAAAACACTTGTGTGTGACTTCTCATGAGACATCAAGGACTTTCGTTATATAGGTGCAATGAATGGCAATTGATATACTGATATCACCCCACTCATGTGGGATATATATACATATATACACGTATATATATATATATATATATATATATATATATATATATATATATATATATATATATATATTATATATATTTATATGTATATATATATATATATATATATATATATATATATATATATATAATATATATATATATATATATATATATATATATAATATATATATATATATATATATATATATATATATAATAATATAATATATATATATAATATATATGTCTGATCACATTATGGTGAACCAGGTCCGAATGCTGGGCAAGAAAACCCAGTGTCATGTGCTGATGAGTGTGCTCTTAGCTTTGTGTGCTAAACAATTGTTTGCTTACTTGACCCAAACAGTGGTCATTAAGGAGATACAGCCCCTCAGAAGTTGGCAATAATGTTTCTGTTTAGCCTCATTTTCTGAAAAAAAAAAAAAAAAAAAAGCCACACCCAAAAATGTTTAAAGTGGAGTAAATGTATGTTTTTCAAGCTTCTAATTTTTTGCTAGATTGTCTGACTGCATATGGAACTTGGGATGTGGCAAGGTAATGCATGAGAAAAGCCTGTCATGAATGGGTTAATATTCAACATTGTCAAGTTCAGTGTATTTATTTGTAGAAAATTAAGATTTGAAGCTTTGATAGCATGAGTATTGAACTGTCTTCCTAAATGGTTATATTATATAAAATCAAGGAAGTATCCCTTAATAGAAAACTTCAGGAGATTCCTTTACAGGTAACAAGCTAGTGATTTTATTTTTTCCTCAATTTCCACAGAATCAGAATTTCCGTATAAATTTCTACATTTTGCGTTACCAACAATTTGCTGTTCATATTTTCTTTAAGTAGGCATGCACAACAGTTTGCTGTTCATATTTTCTTTAAGCAGGCATGCACAAATATGGAATTGGAGATGTGCCTTTTCCACTCAAGCAATAATTGTAATCTGCCAAATGAATGTTACATCAGCAATCTTGGGGAAGGTGAATCATATCTTATTTTTGCTTTAATGATTGAAGACCTCAAAATTTAAAATTTAAGCTATTTGAAAATCAGGTCTCTAGTCATAGACTTCTTTTATTTTATTATTGTGGATAGAAATATTTTGGAATTGGTGTTTTAGTATTGAACTGAACTGTATATGTATATGTGTAAATATAAAGTTTGAAAAGGGAAGCTCTATTTTTCACCCTAACAAATGAAAGATGTGCAAGATATGTATGAATTCCAGGTTTTAGCATACTATAGAATATACTGATATTTTATACACATCAGATTATCTGTCTGGAATTATAATCTACTTGTATATTTTCCTCTATCAACAAGTTCACTGATCTCTAAATTGCTGCATAATATGTCCTTATAAAAGAGAAAGGAGAGGGAGAGAATGTATTTATGTGAATACAGTATTTCCTTGTGTTGGGTTAGAGATACATATGCATTTGCAACTGCAGATACAGTATTCAATGCTTATGTAATCTTAAAATCAATGCTTCTTTTTAGCAGCTTACACAATTCCAGTGTCTAGTTTAAAGCAGTTTGATAAATATGCAAACAGTCACATGAAAACAAGAAAAATGTGCAAACATTTAACAAAATCTGTAATAAGAAAGTGAGTTGGCAGGTCTTTTCCCTGGAGAGATACTAGGTTAAAGTATGCATAATTTGCAAAATCTGGATATACAAACTTTGAAATGTCAATAGAAGTATAATTGATGGAATTACTAATGTTTAATGTTTGCTTGACAATATGGTGAAAGTGTGAATTTTCAGAGAAGTACTTTGGCAATAGAGGTGGACTGGAGGTCAACTTGGAATTGATTTTATATTGTACTGGGAATTGTGATATCTATTATTGCCTGGTTCATTGGATTTGATATCAAAGGTTACAAGTTCTACATGTTTATGGGAAAAAAGGATGAGTTTTACAACATCTGGTCCCCCAAATTTTTGTACATCATAAAGTTCAGCACATTTGCAATTTTGTATCAGTCATTGTGTCCATGGTTTATGTATGTTGTGTAAATGTGTATTTGTGAGTATATTTGTAAGTATACACATGCATCAAATTTGTATCTACATAATAATGAAAATGGATTGTCAAGGTAAATGAAGGTTTTGAGGTAGGTATAGTTTTACAGGCCTTACATGTGTGTATTTTTCTCATGCATCTGGCAACATCTGGGTAAAGATTGCTGTTTCTGTCTGTCACTGGACATGATGTGTTCTGTGTAATACTGTGATACAAGCTTACCAAATACTTTAGCACAATTCTTTCTTATTAAATGCATGGCCATCAACTTCAATGGAATGCATGAGATGTAAACAAAATGATAATCAAAAAGTTATTAGACATTTATTGAAGTACTGCAACATTTCCCAACATATCGCAATCTATAATCAAAAGCTAGAAAAATACATTAAAGATATTCACAACTATCTTCAGCATTTACATGCAGTGATATTACCATGGTAAATATTCAAAACATTCACTTAATACTTGAGCCTGGTGACAAATCATACCATGTAAAATATAACATTATATATATATATATATATATATATATATATATATATATATATATATATATATATATATATATATATATATATATATTAGTTTTTAATTAGGGATCTGCTAGAACTAAAGATTTTTATTTTTCTAAATCAAGCTGCTAATCCTTATCATCCCAGTGCAAGTCAGTTGCAGCCAAAGTCTAAAGAGGATGTGCAGGAAGCACTTTGCCGGTGCAATTGCCAAAGCCAACCTTGTAACTATCCCCTTGACAGTACCCGGATATAACAACTTCATCTCCATCCTGAAGGAATTTCCGAGTAACTCCATTGCCAAGGTCAATTGTTTTGCTGCCCTTCCATGAGAGTTCCAGCATCGAGCCAAAAGATTCCTCACTCTGAAAATAATATATATTAGGATCACAAACATGAAATCTCTGTTTAGTTTGCATCTCTTTCCAGTTGATAAAACTTTTCCTTTCCAAATAAAATTATTTCTAAAGGCATATTTTTACTAACTGATCCAGAAATTGTTCCTGAAGCCATAAGATCTCCGGGCCTGACATTACAGCCTGTGATGGTATGGTGAGCCAGCTGTTGTTTCATTGTCCAATACATGTATCGGAAGTTGCTACGGCAGACTGTTCCTAGGTGATTACTACCTTCAGCTGGAATATGCAAAGAGAGTTAGAGTTGACAAAACAGACTATAATTACTATGTTCATTAAACATGAAATTTTTGGTTATATCCCATGCTGCACAAACAATACAAGTTATTTATTCATTAGTTTTTCTCTCTAAAACTTGGGAATAACAGAAAGGAAAACTTCTGAAAATGCAAGTTAACATTCACCAATTCAAGCCTCTGATATATTCTTCACATCTCAATTGCTTACTTATTATCATTATAATGGATGAAGTATATCATATATTCCCACTTACGTCGGATGCCAACTTCCAGCTTAATATCATATGTGAATTTGTCATTGTGTTTCAGGTAAGGGAAGGGTTCAGGGTCTTGGGAGTAGTTATCAACAAGAAATGGTTCAAGAGCTTGCATGCTAACTACCCATGGAGAGATGGTGGTGCCCAAGTTCTTTGCCAGGAAAGGTCCAAGAGGCACATACTCCCATTTCTGGATGTCTCTCGCTTAAATAAAAAACAAAGTTGAGTATTTCAATTACGTAGATGTGTCATTACTGATCTTACTCTTTTACTTAAGTAATCAAAGTAATGCCTGTACATTAACATTTTCACACTCATAGCCAAAACTGTAAAACATATATGTATATGAAGTTGATATATCTAATTTTACTGGTAACACCCTAACATTATTAATCCATAACCACAAGAAACATCAACCTACCACTCCAATCGTTCATGAGCACCATGCCAAAGATGTGTTCCTGGGCATCTTGGACTTTGATAGGGTCTCCCATCTTATTTCCAGGCCCAACAAAGAATGCCATTTCAAGCTCAAAGTCCATGAGACGGCACGGTCCAAATGTTGGGGGCTCATCATCCTTTGGCTTAGTTTGGCCATTGGGCCGTCGGACCGGGGTGCCAGATACCACCACACTAGATGCTCGGCCATGGTAACCAACAGGAAGATATTTCCTGAGTAATGAAGGAAATTTTCTTAAATCCAGCTATTTGCTTTCTACCTAATTATTTAGAAAATGTGCAGCTATTTTAAGTGAATTAACTGAAAAGAATAAAAGGCTATAGTTTGAGAGGAGTAAAAAAATCTTATTTTCAAGAAAAATTATCTTGCTGGTATATCAAAATTAATAAGCATTCTCAGAAGAGACCTCATTAGTTATGCAACAAAAACACTCACCAGTTAGGCATAAGAGCATTTTCCTTTCCACGCATCATGATCCCAACATTAGTAGCATGGTCAATGGATGAATAGAAATCAGTGTAGTCTCCAATGGTGGCTGGGAGGTGCATGTGGGCTGCATTTTGAGGGACAAATGCTCTGAAAGTGAATGGGAAATGAATGTAAAATGTTTTTGATATGCTATGACATTTATAAATATGAAACTACACAATATATATTCTCTTATGTGCACAATTACACTTATGCACAAAAAGCATACAACCATCATTCACAATCTGATGCAATAAAAATCCTACTTTGCTCTCAATGCACAGTCATCCCTCAATATGGGGTTCTCTTCACTTAGTAGTGTTTGGAGGGTTGCTCTTGCCTCTTTCCATGCAGCAAGTCCTAGGCCCATGAAAGCATTAAGAGTTGGCTGAAACACATGCATAAGATCCATATATTATAACCAGTTGGATGTGGAATAATTCATATATAAG